TACACATATGTATACATATATATATATATATATATATATATATATATATATATATATATATATACATACACATATGTATACATATATATATATATATATATATATATATATATATGTATACATATATATATATATATATATATATATATATATATATATATATATGTATACATATATATATATATATATATATATATATATATATATATATGTATATATTATATATGTATATATTATATATGTATATATTATATATGTATATATTATATATATATATATTATATATATATATATTATATATATATATATATTATATATATATATATTATATATATATATATTATATATATATATATTATATATATATATATATATATATATATATATATATTATATATATATATATATGTATATATATGTATACATATATATATATATATTATATATATATATATATATATATATATATATATATATATACATTATATATATATATATATATATATATATATATATATATATATATATATATATATATATATATATATGTATGTATACATATATATACATATATGTATATACATATATATGTATATATATATATATATGTATATACATATATATGTATATATATATATGTATATTATATATATATTACATATATATATATGATTATAAAAATATATATATGAATATATATATTTGTATAGATATATATAGATATATACATTTATTTATATATTATCAGAGAGAGAGAGATTATCGTTTTGAAGGGCAAGTGTTGTAATTTTAGAAAACAGGCGAATATAATTGAAGAAAGGGCAATATCATTGGCTTAAAATGTGCTGATTACACGGACATATAAAAGAACTAGATAAGGAGAGATTAGGCCTATTAAAGAAATAATTTAGATTATATTGAGACAGGATAATAACATTCCTTTTATTTGAGAAACATTTACTGTCTTTTGATTTTGTCCCTTTTATGACGCGATAAAACGCAGAAAAGGGAGCAACTTCACAGGATTTCTGCATGTAAACCACGGCCTTCTTTTTAATATATTCTTGAACGAAATATAGTATCTATCGTAGAAAGTTGAATTTGGCCACACCCCGAAGGAAAGGGTTGTACTTAATGAGGGTGTTCGAAATTAACGCACAGAACGTAAGCAACGAGTTGAAGATATCCGATAAAGATATGAAAGATATGATCCGATATGAAGATATCATACGCTTACCGGAAATATATTATTACGGATGCAGTTTAAGTTCCTTTCCACTGATGTAGACTTTTTGTTGCATTATACTAATTTTGGCGCGGGGAAACCCACCAGGAAAGAGTAACTTGGTGTTTTTTTCACGCGTCAAGGACTGTTTTTGTTTGTCTTAAATATGAAGAATTACTTCTCAAGTATATCAGTAAGCGAGGGTAGAGATACTAGAAATTATATATATATTTCTAAGGCTCACCAGCTTCCCTGGGCTACCTAGAGTTATTTTTTTTTTCTTTTTTTTTAAATAAAGATCTTGCTTCATTTTTCTTCCCAGACATCATGCCTTGTCAAAGATTTAGATCTAACAACAAACCTCTCAAGCCACAGTTATCAATATCACATTTAACTGGGAACACAGACCAAAAGCCTACACTTATATAAATAATGTGCTCTTAACCCCAATAACATAATTTACCCAGTATCATGCCAGCGCTTGACCTATATCGGGAAAAATAAACAAAAGTCGGTCAAGAGTCGCCAAAGCGAGTGGGAGAAACGGCGCTGGATATCGCAGAGACAAGCGCCAGAGAGTGTGTATATCCAAGCAGGTATCCAGATTTCCCACGCTGACGTCCCGTAGTCTCACGAAACTCGTAAAGTTAGCTAATTAATATTCAGGGATGAATAATAGGTAGAAAAGAAGCAGTGATGATAATATATGCTTGATATAGTGATTGATACACCGTAATAAATCATTAAAGCAAAGCCAGATCAGTAATACATAAACAAATCCTTAAAATGAAATAGTACTAAAAAAATAGTACAAGTTATATCCTCTAACCACAATATGCAGATTCCAGGGAGTAAGATCACCCATGCAAAGCACTCTGCGGGCGGAGCTGGCGTGGCCGCTATCTCTTAACGAGCGAGTAAGTGAGTTCTCGCGTGATCCTCTTCGTTAGCTATAGCGCCTGCCAATCTCGCTCTCTCGGCGCTAATCTCTCTCCTTGTGTGCGGCGGCGCATTGGGTCAGATCAGCGGTCACTCTGTTAGCGATACTGGCGCGTTGGGAGCTGTGTGGGAAGGTGGGAGACGGCGCGTTCTGTATCTGTAGATCTGTAAAGTTTTTGTGTCCTTTTCTCTCCCTCTGTCTTTCTCATTATTTTCTCTCACTCTCTATCTATCTATCAATCTCTCTCGCTCTCACTCTCCCTCCCCCTCCCTGCCCACCTCCCATCCTCCTTTTTTTTGTCTGTATAAAAAAAAATAATAGATTAAATGCATACATATATACATACATATATACACATATATATGTGTGTGTGTGTGTGTGTATGTGTGTGTGTGTGTGTGTGTATGTGTGTGTGTGTGTGTGTGTGTGTGTGTGTGTGTGTGTGTGTGTGAGTGTGTGTTTCCTGGTGGAAGCGTCAGATGCAGCGACACCTTGACCAGCCTCACCTGACATTCAACACCCGTTTCCTTCTCCACTGTCCTTGGCTTCGTCCCATGTTCCTCTACCTCAATCCTCTCTTTCGTGATAAAGGCATTCGCTGTTTCGGATCTCCTCAAAGAGCGGGAACGACGACACGATGGCGAGATAAAAGGGACGGTGAGAAGCGGGTAGTTCCTGGAGAGGTTCGCGAAATGAGCTTCCAGGACGCGGAGGCTCCTTTCAAAGGGGTCTGGAGGTACTGTCAGCGGCGACGGGATGTCGAGAGTTCGAAGCTTCGGTCGGGTCTCGAAATAGGGGTTAAACATGACACCGCGGATGCAATAAACGAAGGGCGATTGCAAAGATAAAGAGAAAAAATTGAGGGGAGAAACAGGGACAAAGTTTCACCTCTAAAGGCGTTAAGGTGTGAGAGAGAGTTTCGCTCGAAGAGAAAAAACGACACGTTTCGTAATCGCTTCTCCGTCTCTGGGGTGAGCGAAATACGTCGCCGATGGAAGTATGTCATTTCTTTTTCTTTCAACCTTTTGTGCCTTTCATATTCGAAAGGGTATTTTCGCCGCTATTATTAATGTGTCATGACCTTTTGATTGCCTTTCCCATCAGACGCATATCATTTCTGAGAGTTAATGCGATCCTAGAGTTGATAAGAAAGTAATTTCGAGTGATAATGTGCAGTGCCCCTTGCAGATTTGATACGTGTTGTTTTTTCTGCAATGTTGCATAAAGAGTTCCCAATCAACCTCTTAATTTGGGGGAAGATTACATACACGAATTTGCCATTAACTACATTTGTGCTATCTTAGGTTTGTGGCATTATTCCTCCCCCTATCTGCCCTTACTCGCCCACTCACTCTTTCTCCCTCTGTGTATTTGCCTCTCTCCCTATTTACATATCTATCTATCCCCCCCCTCTCTCTCTTTACACACACACACACATACACTCACTCACTCACTCACTCACTCACACACTCACACACTCACTCACTCACTCACTCACTCACTCACTCACTCACACACACACACACACACACACACACACACACACACACACACACACCACACACACACTCACACACTCACACACTCACACACTCACACACCACACACACACTCACACACTCACACACTCACACACTCACACACACACACACACACACACACACACACACACACACATACACACACACACACACACACACACATACACACACACACACACACACACACACACACACACACACATACACATACACACACACACACGCACACGCATATATATATATATATATTTATTTATTTATATATCTATTTATTTATAAATCTGTCTATCTATCTTACTCTCTATCAATCTCTAACTCCTCTCTCTCTCTCTCTCTCTCTCTCCCTCTCCCTCTCCCTCTCTCTCTCTCTCTCTCTCTCTCTCTCTCTCTCTCTCTCTCTCTCTCACTCTCCCTCCCTCTCCCTCTCCCTCTCCCTCACATATCCTGGCTCCACATTTTCCTGTCGTCTCCACTGTCGTCCTTCGCCTTTTCTGCTTGCCGTTATCTTTTCCTCTTCCTGAAATTGCGTCCCTCTTTAAATATAAAATTGTGAAACTGAACTAAAATAAGATAAAATAATGATGAAAAATACACGTGTAATTATACGGATGGAACCGTTAACCAAGGACGGGGAATAAGATGAGGACATATCTGTTTACTTTACGAGTTAAGGTGTAATATCTTGTTTCTAAATATTACGTACGTTTTATTATTGTTGTTATTATTATTATTGTTATTATTATTATTATTTTTATCATTGCTCCGGGGATTGAAGCCTATTGTTTAGTTTTGATTATTTTTTTTTATGAATTGGCCGGTCCTATCTCTGTCCTTTTATCTCTCTTTCTTTGTCTTTGTGTGTCTTTCTCTCTTCCCCTCCTTCCCTCTTCCCCCCCTTCTCTGTCTCTCTCTCTCTCTCCCTCTCTCTCATACACACGCACGCACCCACACCCACCCACACCCACCCACACCCACCTACACCCACACCTGCACCCGCATACACGCGCACGCACGCATTCAAGCACGTCGAGAGAGAGAAAGACGATGGTACAAAATATATTCCAGGACTTGTCACACTTAATGATGTTGAAAATGAACATTAGTAAACACCTGTTTTGGCGATGAATTAAGAAAATATACATTAACCAATATATCAGTATACACTTGATTGTAGTCATACATCAAATTTAATTACATATTATTTTTCTCTCTGTGTATTGTAGTAGACAATAGTATTTATTCACATGTACTTATATCTTTATCAACAATTAACTCTTTTTTTTTCCTCTTTCAGATCCGAAAATATGGCGACCGAAGGAGACATGTTGCTTACCACAGAAAATGTGACGGACTCTTTATCTGCAGGGTGAGTATCTTGTAATCAACTTGCAACATTGATTACATTGAAGAGCAATATTTCTGCAACTGATTACTATTATGTCTTTGACATACCTGCAACATTAATTGCATTGTGAAGGGCAGTATTTCTACAAATAAAATATCTAAAATTGCATGTCTTCGGCCATCAGATTGCCATTACGTAATTTTTGTAACGAATGTGGTGGTGATTCTACCTGATTACAACTGCCATTTACTCATATTCCTCTGTACCTATTGTATTTATACCAATTTCCTTAACCCTTGATTATGCATAAACCACATACCTGTCTTATATACTTCATCATCGGCTACATGAGGTTGTTTACTACAACATATAATCCGTATTATAATAACTACTTTTTTATACACAAGTACTATACATGCCACACGCGAGATAACTGTTAATTGCATCTTAATTGCATTAACGAGTTTTTTTTTCTAAATTGGCAACGAGCCGATTAATCACATTGAAGGCCTACCCTTTTATGGCAACTAGTGCTCAATAAAATCACATAAATCCCTAGTATCATGCAGTATTGAATTCAATCACATTAAACAACATTGCAATGGCTCAGAATAAAGGAAAATCCGTTCCTTGTTCCTTCAGAAAAAAAAACATTGCTTACCTCCCCTTGAAAATCCAGTGTTTCCCTCTTCCATAAAAATCCATTGCTCCCCCACGAGAATCCCATTCAAACCCATTGCTTGTCTCTCCCTCAAGACCCACCGATCGCCTTCCCCCATTCAGACCCATTGCAAACTCAATTGAAAACTCAATTTTTACATCCAACTTGAAAATTGCTCTCCCCTTTACAAACCAGTTACTTACTTTCTACTTGAAAACCTATCAAATGCCTCCCCATTGAAAACTTATCACTTGTCTCCATTGAAAACCCATTGCTTACCTCTCCATTGAAAACGTATCACGTATCTCCATTGAAAACCCATTGCTTGCCTCTCCATTGAAAACGTATCACGTGTCTCCATTGAAAACCCATTGCTTACCTCTCCATTGAAAACGTATCACGTGTCTCCATTGAAAACCCATTGCTTGCCTCTCTATTGAAAACTTATCACGTGCCTCCATTGAAAACCCATGGTTTGGCTCCCCATTGAAATCTTATCACTTTCTTTCCCCATTAAAATAAAACATCACCCCCCATAAAACCCCATTTCTTCCCCTCCCCCCCCCCTCCAGCGAGGCCGGCCACTCCATCAACGTGCCGGGCTTGGTGGCTATCATCATCTTCTACCTTCTGATCCTGGGCATCGGGCTGTGGGCAGCTTGGCGCAAGAAGGGCACGGAGGATACCGCCGAGGATGTCATGCTGGCAGGCAGGGACATCGGCATCTTCGTGGGCTGCTTGACTATGACAGGTAAGGAGAGAGAGGGGGGAGAGGGGGAGAGGGAGAGAGAGGGGGTGAGAAGGAGAGAGAGAAAGAGGGGGGGGGAGGGAGAGAGAGAGAGATAGAGTGATAGTATGTGTGTGTGTGTGTGTGTGTGAGAGAGAGAGGGGGGGGGGGAAGGCCGGGAGGCGGGGAGGGCGAGAGAAACAGACAGACAGGCAGACAGATGTGGGGGGGGGGGGATTATGCATGTGTGTGTGTGTGTGTGTGTGTGTGTGTGTGAGTGAGTGTGTGCATGTGCGTGTGTGTGTGTGTGTGTGTGTGTGTGTGTGTGCGTGTGTGCGTGTGTGCGTGTGTGTGTGTGTGTGTGTGTGTGTATGTGTGGGAAGAGAAATTAGTGAAAAAGTGAGAGGAGAGATAAGATAACAGATACGAGAGGAAGAAGAGGAGGACAAGGACGAGGTGAAGAGAAAATAAACGAAAGAGGGAGAAAGAGAAAGTGAGAGTGAGCGTGTGAGTGAGTGCGAGTGTGAATGTAGGAGGGGAAATGGAGAGACAGATTCTAGAGTTGGTCGTTTCTTCCGTTCATTTTTTTATTGTTATGAATTCATTTCTTCGTTCACTTTTATGTCAAGGATCGTCTCATCACTTTCATATTTTGTTTGTTTGTTAGTTTGCCATGTGTGTGACTTCTTTGGAACGGCTGGGAGGAGTCTGTCTCTGTTTAGACCTGTGGCCTGGATTTTTACTTTCTTTTTCTCCTAATTTTTTATTATAGGCTTGGTTACAAAAGCTGAATAGAATAACAGTGACTGAGCAGAATAATGATCGGCGTGAGACTGGACATTTTATCTGTGACTTGAGGGGGGATTTTAATACAGACAAGCATATTTAATATAGGACGAAAGTTCTTATTTAACTTAAACAAGTCTGCATGCATCAACTAAGAGAGACAAAAAAATCCCTTTATGATACATGCAGGTGGTAAGAACTTGTCGGCGGAATTCACTGAATGATACAGCCGGTCTTTGTACCTTGAGATTTTTTACGAGCATAAAAAAACACATAATAAACAAAGCGAATGAGAAAAAAATTATGAATCCTTAATTCGGGGCGGTTGTAACAAGGACACAGGAAACACGTGATCTCAGGAATCCGGATTAGGCTAACAGTGTCATGAAGTCGGTAATTACTCCTCGCCCTGTTAAATAACCATTACTAAAGGCTAATTATTAAAAAAAAGAAAAAGAGTAAGCATAAATAGACAACACATAACTAAACGATCATTGTAGTTTCTTGGTGGATGTTTACAGAATGGCTAATGTTCTGTAAGTCGTTGCGTCATGTAACTTGGTAGGAGAACGTCTTCTTCGGGTCGCCACCAGTTTGTTATTCTTCAGGAATCGTCGAATCGGAAAACTATGTGCTTTGGCCACACGTTCGCTTATCACTCGCGCGTGCAGTGCTTGCTGATGATTTTGTTTGATGCAGAATTTCAACGATTAGAGTGTGATGACAAACAAATAGCTGGGATACTGATGACAATACTGATAACACGATGATAATGAAGAGACATGTTTGATAACATTCGCAATATCAGTTAAGATAGAGAAAAGCTGCTGTTGGTATTGAGATATTTACCAAGGCAAGATTTACTCTTCCGGCGATGCCCCTTCGCCAAGTCTCATGCTAGATGCCTAAAGCGCAAATAGTAATAGTAATGTGCGTGATATTGTTAATCATGATCATTATGGTGATGGTTATGGTGATGATGATAATGATAATGACAATAACAATGATAATGATAGTGGTAGAGATAATATTGATATTAATGATGGTGTTTCATTGAGGGTAATTATAATAGTGTTTGTTATAAAAGCAATAATAATAGTGATGAAAATAATGAAAATAAGAATAATGGATAATGATAATGAAAATAAGAATAATGGATAATGATAATGAAAATAAGAATAATGGATAATGATAATGAAAATAAGAATAATGGATAATGATAATGAAAATAAGAATAATGGATAATGATAATGAACATAAGAATAATGGATAATGATAATGAAAATAAGAAAAATGGATAATGATAATGAACATAAGAATAATGGATAATGATAATGAAAATTAGAATAATGAATAATGATAATGAAAATAAGAATAATGGATATTGATAATGAAAATAATTATGGATAATAATAAAGAAACTAAGAATAATGGATAATGATAATGAAAATAAGAATAATGGATAATGATAATGAAAATAAGAATAATGATAATAGTATAAAAACTCCAGTCACAAGACACGACTAGCACTTCTTTCCCAGATTCCAGGTTAAAGCCTAGGTACCGGTGGCCTGAGCTGCCCTTTCCCCTTCCGCCTGGGCCCCAGACGCGTGCATATTTTCCCTCAAGGTTGATCCAACGCTCACCTTTGCCCTTCTCTTCTTCCAGCAACATGGGTCGGCGGAGGTTATATAAACGGGTCGGCGGAGGCAGTGTTCACGAGCGGCCTCATCTGGTGTCAGGCGCCCTTCGGTTATGCCATCAGCCTGACGTTGGGTGAGAAGAGCTTTGCTGTTATGGTCGTTTTGGTTGTAATAGTAGTTAAGGAGGATTTTTTGTTTTTTTTACTTTAGTTTCATAAAAGGGAGAGGAAAAAGAGAGGGATGGAGAAGGGAAGGGAAAGAGAGTGATGGAAAAGGAAAAGGAAAAAGAGAGGGATGGAGAAGGGAAGGGAAAGAGAGTGATGGAAAAGGAAAAGGAAAAAGAGAGGGATGGAGAAGGGAAGGGAAAGAGAGTGATGGAAAAGGAAAAGGAAAAAGAGAGGGATGGAGAAGGGAAGGGAAAGAGAGTGATGGAAAAGGAAAAGGAAAAAGAGAGGGATGGAGAAGGGAAGGGAAAGAGAGTGATGGAAAAGGAAAAGGAAAAAGAGAGGGATGGAGAAGGGAAGGGAAAGAGAGTGATGGAAAAGGAAAAGGAAAAAGAGAGGGATGGAGAAGGGAAGGGAAAGAGAGTGATGGAAAAGGAAAAGGAAAAAGAGAGGGATGGAGAAGGGAAGGGAAAGAGAGTGATGGAAAAGGAAAAGGAAAAAGAGAGGGATGGAGAAGGGAAGGGAAAGAGAGTGATGGAAAAGGAAAAGGAAAAAGAGAGGGATGGAGAAGGGAAGGGAAAGAGAGTGATGGAAAAGGAAAAGGAAAAAGAGAGGGATGGAGAAGGGAAGGGAAAGAGAGTGATGGAAAAGGAAAAGGAAAAAGAGAGGGATGGAGAAGGGAAGGGAAAGAGAGTGATGGAAAAGGAAAAGGAAAAAGAGAGGGATGGAGAAGGGAAGGGAAAGAGAGTGATGGAAAAGGAAAAGGAAAAAGAGAGGGATGGAGAAGGGAAGGGAAAGAGAGTGATGGAAAAGGAAAAGGAAAAAGAGAGGGATGGAGAAGGGAAGGGAAAGAGAGTGATGGAAAAGGAAAAGGAAAAAGAGAGGGATGGAGAAGGGAAGGGAAAGAGAGTGATGGAAAAGGAAAAGGAAAAAGAGAGGGATGGAGAAGGGAAGGGAAAGAGAGTGATGGAAAAGGAAAAGGAAAAAGAGAGGGATGGAGAAGGGAAGGGAAAGAGAGTGATGGAAAAGGAAAAGGAAAAAGAGAGGGATGGAGAAGGGAAGGGAAAGAGAGTGATGGAAAAGGAAAAGGAAAAAGAGAGGGATGGAGAAGGGAAGGGAAAGAGAGTGATGGAAAAGGAAAAGGAAAAAGAGAGGGATGGAGAAGGGAAGGGAAAGAGAGTGATGGAAAAGGAAAAGGAAAAAGAGAGGGATGGAGAAGGGAAGGGAAAGAGAGTGATGGAAAAGGAAAAGGAAAAAGAGAGGGATGGAGAAGGGAAGGGAAAGAGAGTGATGGAAAAGGAAAAGGAAAAAGAGAGGGATGGAGAAGGGAAGGGAAAGAGAGTGATGGAAAAGGAAAAGGAAAAAGAGAGGGATGGAGAAGGGAAGGGAAAGAGAGTGATGGAAAAGGAAAAGGAAAAAGAGAGGGATGGAGAAGGGAAGGGAAAGAGAGTGATGGAAAAGGAAAAGGAAAAAGAGAGGGATGGAGAAGGGAAGGGAAAGAGAGTGATGGAAAAGGAAAAGGAAAAAGAGAGGGATGGAGAAGAGAAGGGAACGAGAGTGATGGAAAAGGAAAAGGAAAAAGAGAGGGATGGAGAAGGGAAGGGAAAGGGAGGGAGGAGAAGGAATCCGGGAAGAAGAAAGTAACGAAAAAGGAAATGGGAAGAGAAAGAGAGAAGGGACAGGAAAGAAAAACGGAATAGGAGGGAAGGAGGAAGAGAGAAAGACACATTGTGTTCTTCGGTTAAGGAAAACTTTCTTTGCTCACATTCCCTCACCCCTCCTACAGGCTCGACCTTGGCTGTGATCCTCGACCTCTCGAACAACGTGTCGATCATCGTGTCGGCCGCCATCGCCGTGGTGTACACGCTCTTCGGAGGCCTCTACTCCGTCGCGTACACAGACGTTGTGCAACTCTTCTGCATCTTTATTGGGCTGGTAAGTCGTGGTGGCGTGTGTGCCAAGTTTACTGAAATTGTTCTGAAAATGTTGGCCTGCTGTAAATCACTGGGTTTAAGTGATATTTAAGTGATTCTAAAAGCGCTAGTTAAGGAGGTAATGAATGCCCATTGCAATATCTAAATTATAATAAGTGCATTGCTAAATGATTCACATATTATAGTTTACATACCATATTACTCGCTTTTTTACTCATATCGAGTATGTGTAATTTTAAATTCATGCAGCGATCATCTCTTCCGTTATCGAAACTATATGATCCAAGAGTAACATCATCCCTCTTCCGTTGCAGTGGATAACCATCCCGTTCGCCCTGATGCACGAGGCCGTCGGGTCGCTGAGCCTCAACGAAACCGACTGGCTGGGCTCCATCTCCGAGGACACGCCGTGGGTCTGGGGCGAGTGGACTGACTTCGCCGTCCTCCTCATCTTCGGGGGGATTCCGTGGCAGGTGCGTGAGTAGGAGGAGGAGGAAGAGGAGGAGGAGGACAAGGACAAGCAAGGCATGCCAATTCTGTCACAAAGTTAATCCAGTCGGCACGGATGGCAAGAATACATGCCATGCGCACTGTAATATAAGTTGATTTATTGTATTTACACATAGATGGCTCTGCAAGTGCTTAATCACCAAAGAGTTAGTTATTAGTCCTGCCTATCTCACCTGTTTACCCTTTTCTTTGACTTTTGGAAAGGTTCTTTTGTATTATTGAATTGTCTTAAATGTTACCAAGATTTTAATAGCAACTTGATAACCATAATATCAATGACAGTAACAGTATCGATATCAATTGTATTAACGAGAAAAACACACTTTCCCGCCAATTCAAGGAATGGAGAAATCAGGATTGGTCACTAGGGTCTACTGATAGACTCCTTGCTGATGTGGAGACACCTGTATGTAACAAAATTCACAAAAAAACTACAGGGGGCATAATTCTGTGATGGTTGGGTTAAGCTTCGGGAGGATAAATTTAGTTAAGCGAGAAACTGTGTGGTTGAAGAGAGGCAAATGATTTTTAAGGGGAGACAAAGTAGAGAACTACAGGTAGACACATGTATGTATGAAATAGAACAAAAAGATATCTGCTTAGTACACAGTCATAGAAAACTGGCCTCTATCATTTTCCTTCGTGTTATACCGATACATCCGAAATCGTATCAGTACGAACTATTCTAAATACTTTATTTCCCTTTACAGGTATACTTCCAGCGCGTCCTCTCGGCACGCAGCAGCAAACAAGCCCAAATGCTGTCCTTCGTGGGATCCTTTGGCTGTTTCTTCATGGCAGTTCCAGCTTGTATTATCGGAGCCATCGCCAAGGCCACAGGTGAGCTTTCGGATGTGACTGTTGTTGAAAAGGTACGAATGATAATAAAGTCGTAGTGCGAAACGTCGCTGATGCGTTTCGATGTGGAGTCTTCAACATATTTTTGATGTTTTGATGTTTCGATGTTCTAATGTGAATAATTTGACTTTTTGTACATACGTAAAGACGCAGTCGACATTCATAC